CGGGCAGCGGTGGTAGGAGGAGGTCCAGCTGGATCCTCTGCAGCTGAAGCACTTGCTGCTGGTGGCATAGAGACCTTCCTCTTCGAACGCAGCCCCTCTACTGCCAAACCCTGTGGTGGAGCAATCCCACTTTGTATGCTAGATGAGTTCTCCATCCCTCCTCACCTCATTGATCGGAAAGTCACCCGCATGAAGATAATATCTCCGTCCAATCTGGCCGTTGATTTTGGTAAAACTCTGAAGCCCCATGAGTTCATCTCCATGCTCCGCCGAGAAGTGCTTGATGACTTCCTACGCCGCCGTGCTGAGTCTTGTGGCGCCGCACTTATCAAAGGACTTGTCACAAATGTGGAGGTTCCCCTAACAAGCAGCTCTTCATATGTTATTCACTATAATAAGAATAATTCACAGAAATCTCTTGCTGTTGATGTTGTTATTGGTGCTGATGGAGCCAACAGCAAGGTGGCTAAGGCCATAAAAGCAGGAGATTACACTTGTGCTATTGCTTTTCAAGAAAGGATTAAGTTGCCTGAGGAGAAAATGGAATATTATGAAAATTTGGCTGAAATGTATGTCGGAAATGATGTTTCACCTGATTTTTATGCGTGGGTTTTCCCCAAGTGCGATCATGTGGCAGTGGGAACGGGGACAGTATGCTCAAAGAAGGATATCAAGATGTTTCAACATGGCATAAGAGCAAGAGTTAGGCCAAAAACTCATGGCGGTCAAGTAATTAAAGTTGAGGCTCATCCAATCCCTGAGCATCCACGTCCAGTTAGAGTCAGGGGACGAGTGGCTCTGGTGGGGGATGCAGCAGGATATGTGACGAAATGTTCTGGTGAGGGAATTTACTTTGCTGCCAAGAGTGGGAGGATGTGCGGGGAAGCAATTGTCAAGGCATCAGAAGGAGGTGAAAGAATGATTAGTGAAGAAGATTTAAAGAGGGAGTATTTGAAGAAGTGGGATGAGATGTATTTAACTACATTCAGGTTTTTGGATTTGTTGCAAAGGGTGTTTTATGGTAGCAATGCTGCTAGGGAGGCATTAGTGGAGTTGTGTGGGGATGAGTACGTGCAGAGGATGACATTTGAGAGCTATCTGTATAAGAAGTTGGCCCGGGGGAACGGATGGGATGACATTAAGATGGTCATGAATACAATTGGGAGTCTAATTAGGTGTGATATTGTAGGCAGAGGGATTGAAATGTTTGACAAACGAGTTCTTGCACAGTTGTAGTGTATCAGGGAACTAGTTAAATGAAAGAGAATCAAATGAAACTTCATCAGTACTTCCCAGAGAAGTACAGATCCAGGAAGTTTTAGCTTTAAATCACCTAAAAACCTTTTGGTATGAACAAATGGTTGTGCCATTACTCTATTTCAGTTCTTCATAAAGCAGATTCAAATTGTTGTTTCCAAGAAAATCTTTGCTGCGGTGGTCAATTTAGCCTTTCATCATTGCCTTAAGTATCATCCTGTAAAGTAATGAATAATTAAGAACTTGACTACATTATTATAACTTCTGGGTGCATAAATACAGCTTTACAGTGGAAAGAAGTGAAACATTTAAGCAAGCTATAACTTTTCAGCAAAGCTTCAAGTTGAATTAACAGTTTCCTACCATACACACACTATTTACCTTGATCCTAACATTATAGCCCAGTCGAGCTAAGAGTTTCTTACCCACTTTGTACCTCGATTCTAACATTAGCCAGCTCCTGTTTTTGCCTCTACTGATACCACAATTTATTTGTACAACTTATTCGCTATATGCATAGAGTTCAAGTGTTTCAAGAGAAAATCAAATCCCATTTTCACACCATTCTGTATCCATCCTTTCTTGACCCCTCCGCCCTCCGCCACAACCAATTTCTTTCTTCATGTAGTGCACATTGTGTTTGAATCTTTTGCGACAAGGTTTTGAAAATAAAAAAAACCCAAGTGCCTAGTGATGAAAAAGTAATTAGAGCAGTAAAAGGGTTAAAGCTTGATATATTTCCACATATAATAGGACCCAAATAACAACCTAATAGTTGAATAGGTGGCTATGCAGCCACCAATCATCCCTCTTGGTTAAAGACATACAAGCATAGAGGATATAGGCTCTGATTTAGTAGACGTAGTTTGCAGAACTTGGAGGAATATGTGCTTTGCTGCCTGTGTTATGCAGCATTTCTGGGACTTAATTTAGTCAAGGGAGAAGATTTTGAAAGCAATGCAAGGCAGAGATGGAGTTGAGGATTGAAAAGAATGAACAGGAGAAGAGCGTGCATGAAAAACATAGGCAGGGGGGAGGGGACTAGCCAAGGTAAGCCCCTTAATTATGACAGAGAAAAGACAAATATGCAAAGAGGAAATTACAGAATATTAAGGAAAAGAATTCACCTTATACTTAGAATCTCTCTTGATGAAGTGCATAAGATGCCATATTCTAGGCCAAAGAAGTTAATTCTTAAAAATGCAGAGAACCAAAGCTTCAAAATAGAATGAAAAAAATCAGTTTATGATGCTAACTAGCCTTTTTGATTTTAATAACTATTAATATACTACGAATAGAACTATATATGTTTACACATACATATACAGTACGGCCTTCAACCCGCACTTGTCTCCGAGACTCATACCTGACTCCACTCAAAGTGCCCTTAGCTAAAGGTTTTCTCAAAAGATTAATGTTTCTTCTAAATGTGTTTCAATTTTAGGTAGCCATGTAAATACTATATGTATGCCTCTGTGATTTATGTCAATTTCACTCTAAACATTTTAAAGCTTGGGATCCTCCTCAAAACACCAGAGTATCTTAATCTATAACTAACATGGTCTTAATTTGGTTGGGCAGAAAACAATCACAAGCATAAAATGTAATTATCCTACTCATGTTAGGGTTAGCATTTTTGTATTTTCAGAGACCCTATCCAACATTACTCCCCCAATTCAAAGAATTCAGACTCTCTTGCAATTATTCATGCACTGTTAAGCTGCATCTGTATATTAGCATAACACCAGAGAAGCCTAAGCAGTATGTCTCTCATAATATAACATAAAAAGGTTTGCTGATACACAACAAAGTCACTTAATACCTGCAATTCACTAAAACTTTTGCACAAAGGGTACTTTAAAGTATCAAGATGTCACTAATTTCACCAATGATCCACTTAAGGTCCTCTTTAAACCATATGCTTCAAATTCTTATTTGGCTAGAAAAGTCCAGATAACTTGCACCTCAACTGCAATTTCTCATATTAAATCTCTAGCACAAAGTAGCTTCATATAACTACTTTTTTTATATTAACCAAAAAAAAAAAAAAAAACAGCAATACAAGAACCCAGAAGAACCAAACCGATGAAATCCTTTTATTGTTCTATTCTTAATAACAACAAGATAACATGAAAAAAGGTTGCTGCACCATTTTTAATAAGCATTGCAATCAGACCATCAAAATGAAGTGCAAAAGGTCGAAGTTGAAAGAATGTGAGCTGTGAAACTAATAGACATGAAAAATACAAAATGATCTTAATAAAAGCTACCATAAATTAAGGAATCAAAACTGTGAGCATAAGCGAAAAGAGTTCATGGAAGATAAAAAGAGTTAAAAAGCAGAGGATCTTACGGTTTTTTTTTTTAAACCTTTTGTCATTCAGATCAGATAGAGCCAGCAATTATATTCTTGTAACAAACATAACCAGAACACAAACTTTGAAATTTCCCCAAATAACCAAGACAGGGAGGTTCCTTGCTTGTCGGCAAGTGGACAGAAAACAGAAATACCTACAAAAAAGGAAAAAAAAAACTAAAATGGAACAAAAAAGTAAGCCCGATACTCCGGTATTTGATGCTGGAGATGGATAGTTTGCATCCACCTGTTGATTTTGCAGGAGATGAATAGGTTTACTTGGGGCTGATACCGCTGAAAATATAAGGTTGGAATTGAAGGAATTTTGTGATGGTTGAAGATGATACAAACATTCAATTGGAAATTCCCTGGGAGAAAGAGATGAAATTGAGGTGGAACAATGAGGTGGAGAAGGAGTTTTGAGGGTTGGATTTTTGGGAGAAGATGGATTCCGGCGTTCATGAAGCAGTGGCGGCCCTGGAGGACGACGCCTGGAGGGAGGAGGAGGAGAACCACCCGTACTAAAGGACTGGACGGCCCCCTTTTTTCTGACGAGGACGACACGTGGCAGATTGTAATGTCCTGCTTAGTGACGTGTCTGTACAGTCATCATACACGTAAGCATCATGAATGACATGGCATCCATGTCATCATCACACGATTTGTATGACTCGCTGTACGTGGTCTGCAATTTCCTTCACTTTCTTCATAGTTAGGTCAAGTTAGGGTTTGTTTTTATTTCTGACAAGGTTTTTTGTAATTAATTTGTTAGTTCAATTTATGGATTCATTCTTTAATTCATGTAGAACACATATTGCCTTTTTGGTTAGTGATTTAAAGATTTTTTAATTACCTTTGACAATTTATTAATTGTCTTCGACAATGTATTAATTTTTTTTTTAAATTTTCTAGGTTTCTGGGATTAGAAAATTTTTGTGCAGTTTTCAATTTTTTCTTTTAGACTTTGGTAGAAAGCAATATACATCACACTATTTAGATTTTTTCATGTTTTTGACTTAAGAGCAAAATACATCTGTTCTTTTTTTTTTTTCCCAACAACGATACATTGTATAACCTACTCTATCCTAATTTAGAGAGAGGAGGAGCCTAAAAAGGCTTGTGTTAAAAGCTAGTGGGTATACTGTGGCGACCCCACTTCCCCCTGAGGCGAACCAAAGGATTGGCGGGCCGTCTGCCCAACTCTCGCCAGGACTCACGCGAGCAATCTAACCCGAACCCTTTCGAAGAATAAACTAATCTATTACAAAATCATCTTCCCCGAATAGAATCATATCTAAAGCCACATTACCTTCGGAGATAGCAATGATAAAATTTCCAGTCGAGACCCTTAAACGACCTACGTGCTACTTACCAAAGTACAAAGTCATAACAAACCGGATAGATAAAATGCATAAATCCATAATACAACTTACAAGCCAAGTAATCGAACTAAGGTTTACACATTTTCCAGCTTCAAGTGGCAATCCAAAAAGGAAAATACATTATCCCCAAATAACACATTACAGCCCACAGGATAAGATATAGTGTTCAAATGCAGTCCAAAAGAAAAACATAAATTAAGTAAGCATCCAACTTTCAGTTTCCAGAACCTGTAAAGGAAAACAATAAACGTGGGGTGAGCTAAAACTCAGTGGTGCCCCAAAACATACAAGCACATAATTTCAAACAGCGATTAATAACTGCACAAATTTAAACAGTTAGGAAAGCGTATAACAGCACAAGGTAGGATACATGGGCTCTCAGGAGCCATTTCCCTCGCTTGAGCACCAATTATCGTAGTTGACCCTCCGTCAACTCTCACTACTTATAAGCCATGTAGATCCACTTATTTTAATCCTAACCCGTCACCATTCATACCTCTGCTTCGGGCCCGGACTTCGCCTACCGACGCAGTATACTCGAGATATACCCGTATAAAATTAGTCGAGGGATTCACCCAATGACGTGATTGCAATCAGATACATGCGTCGAGAAATTTACCCAATGACGTGATTGCAATCAGATACATGCGTCAAGAGATTCACCCAATGACTTATTGTAGTTAGATTCAAGCGTCAAGGAATTCACCAAAGACGTGATTGCAATCAGATACATGCGTCGAGAGATTCACCCAAAGACGTGATTGCAATCAGATACATGCGTCGAGGGATTCAACAATGATGTAACTACATTTAGTTTCATGGTAGTTAGATTCATGCGTCGAGGGATTCACCCAACGACGTAGCTACATATAGATTTAGGAGAAAAATGTTTTGCACAAGTCACCACTCGAACGGCTAGTGCGATAAAGTACACACAGCTCACTTCGATGGATCAGAAACCAATTTTTTTCAAATTATCACATATCCAGTCAAGAAGGTACTTTAAGCAGGTAAGCATAGAACAGGCAGGGACACTCACCAAGAGTGGAGTTCAGATATCAAGTTGGGGATCGAATTCCGCGTCCTCGAAAAACCCTAAAAACCAAAATTTGAAACTATAAGTTTCTACTTAGTTTTTAAGCTTATAGTCATTAAAGTATATTTAATATACTACTAGTTCACTTTCCCTTAGAAATATCAAGAGTTCCTTAGATTAAAACTTGACAAAAGTAGAAAAGATATTTCCTATGGTTTTCCTTGAGGTACTTTTCTAGAATGAAGTAACTAGTATTATTTTATTGAAATAAGTCGATAAACCTCTGAATATCAAAGCTAAAAAGTTACTTTGAACATTTCTCTAAAGATACGGCTTTTGCAAGATTTATTTCCAAAAACTATTTTTCCTAAAATAGGGTTTCTTGCCGAGCAAGTTTTCCAGGCTTTTAACTAAAATTTGTAAACTCGTATTTTGAAATTTTTTTTTTCCTAAAGTTAGCTATCCAAATGTAAAGCTTAAGGAAAGAAAAGAAATCGAAATAAGACCTAGAATTTTCAAAAGCTATAGAATTAAAATACTATAGCTATCAAGACTAGTTTGAGCTAAAGGAACTTATCGGTTTCGAAAAGTTTTAGGTGAAACACTAGATATTGAGTTTTTATATTATAATACTAGCTGGGAAATATTTTTGCTTGATTTGATAACAGCTACTCGAGTTCACAAAGTCGAAACGACTTGCACAGCTCCGGTTCCGTGAATATAATCGAAGTATAAGATATAGTGCTAAAAAAATGGGGAGAACAAGGACAGAACATAATTATGAATCCCTTTCTCGAACACAAGGGCATCTATGAGGCATTTACCCCTATTAAGAAATTTGAAAATCCCGAACTAGTGGGATTCCTCCCTTTTGAAGGGAGTTTTGATAAATTTGGGGAGTTGTTTTTGGTAAAAATTCATGAAAATCATTCATATGTATGTCTTTTGTTTAACTATGTTTTTGTAAATAGTTTTGAATCAAGTGATTTTTGAAGACACGTCTTGTTTAACAAGTAACATGCTATTAAAATTGATCTTTATCTTGAAATTCAATAAAATGTACAATTTTATATATACTGTGTTACTTACACATTCTTTTCAGATGGCCAAGAATAGAATCCTCTGATCCTTTAGATATATCTCGATATCTCACGAATGTGAATTTGGATTTTAAAATGAGAGGAGTAGCGAAATGACATCCGAAAATATTTCAAAGAGACCCGAATGGTATAAAGAGAAACTCAAACCGAATTGGGATTAAGATTAAGGAAATAAAAATCAATGGTCACTTGATAAAAAATAGTTAAATGCAGTCTGTCATGGTCAATATTATTAAAAGGATTAGCTCGTGCTTACCATAAAATAGTCAAATCATGACTATTCAGACTAGGAGACAAAGCGTTGAGGGAGATTTTGTCGGTGGAAGATGAGGCCAAATGAAGAGTTTGTCCCAAATTGACAAGATTCTTTTATTGTCAAAAAGGTATTGCAGGGCGGAGCACTTATTTTCACTGATATGGATTAACAAGAGTTTCCCTTAATCGATTAATTTAGATATAGGTAAAATTTTACATTAATGAAAGTTTCCTTTCAGAATTAATGCAGGGAACAGAATTAAAGTCCAGCCCTCTTTCTTTCCCATTGAGACATTTTATCCCTAGTGGTCTCTTTTGATCTTGTAGAATGAATGATTTCGCTTGTCAACCTGATGAGCAACCCTAGGGGAAGACCCTCCTAGACCCTCCCAACCTTGTAATTATCAGAGTTGGACCTTTCTCCCAATGGAAATTGAACTCGAATTGTTCTCATGGACTCAAGACCTCTGACACACAAAGGCAATCAGCAACCTTAAGCAAATAATGCTGGATGAAAAGACACCACGATTAGGGAACAAGCTAATCGATAAAGTCAGATTTGAATCCTAAGCAATGAACTCAAGAATTCAAGAGTAAGTTCGATTAAGAACTTGAAGGAAAAAATCCTCACGATTTCTGGTTGTAATATTCCGTCTTTTCACTCATACAATAGGTGCCTTTTATAGGCTAAAACTAGGGCAAATCCGGCCCACATAAACCTGAAATAGGAATTCGGTCCGCATAAAGAGCTAGCTCTTTAAGACTTCTCGATAAGGCCCAATAAGTAATAAAATACTCAACGACCAACAACTACTAGACTAGGCAGTCTTAAAATAACTACCAACTAAGCTAACAAGTATGAGATCATTCTTTCACTTCAAACATACAAGTGAACAAGGTAACTTCATGGTCCATCAAATCTTCAAACTTAACTTGCTCCTTGCTTGTATGGTGAATGATCAAGGCTCATAAAGCTTCCCTCACCTTCTTGGTTCTTGATCTTGTCATCGGACCACCAATGTTGATCAAAGGGTCCTTGACCCAAGGTTGAAGGTGTTGCACACCCGTATCCACATCATTCCCTCCCTCCTCGAAAGGATTCGTCCTCGAATCGTCAAAGTCTGTATCAAAGGCAAATGGGGATAGGTCAGACACATTAAAAGATACGCTTATGCCATACTCATTTGGAAGTTCCAATTTGTAGGCATTGTCATTTATCCTTTCTAGGACACGAAAAGGTCCATCTTCTCTTGGATGTAACTTGGTCCGTCGAGATGCTAGAAACCTTTCCTTCCTCATGTGTACCCAAGCCCAATCACCAGGTTCGAATACAACATGCTTTCTACCCTTATTCGCATGTTGTGCATATTGCGCATTTTTCTTCTCAATTTGAGCTCTAACTCTCTCATGCAAGGTCTGAATAGCCTCTGTCTTTTTGATACCATGTGCGCTTAAACACTCATCAACAGGAATAGGTGATAAATCTAGAGGGGTTAGCGGCTGAAACCCATAAACAATTTCAAAAGGAGAATGATTAGTAGAAGAATGAGTGGTTCGATTATATGCAAATTCGGCAATAGGCAAACATTCTTCCCACTTTTTCAAGTTCTTTTGAACAATGGCTCGAAGTAAAGCACCAAGGGTTCGATTGGTTACCTCAGTCTAACCATCCGTTTGAGGATGACTAGAAGTAGAAAACAGCAACTTAGTTCCCAACTTTCCCCAAAGTGATTTCCAGAAATAGCTTAAGAATTTCACATCCCTATCACTTACAATAGTACGCGGTACCCCATGCAATCTAACCACGTCCTTGAAGAATAAATCAGCAACATGGCGCGTATCATTGGTTTTCCTACAAGGGATAAAATGAGCGATTTTAGAAAATCTGTCCACTACAACAAAGATACTATCCATACCTCTAGAAGATCTTGGTAAACCAAGCACAAAATCCATGGATAAGTCTGTCCAAGGAGCATGAGGTACGGGTAGAGGAGTGTACAATCCATGAGAATTACCCCTTACCTTTGCTTGCTTACACTTTAAACACTTATCACAAATGTTAGCAACGTCACGCCTCATTTGAGGCCAATAGAAGTGTTCATGCAAAATGTCAAGAGTTTTATCAATGGCAAAATGTCCCATCAACCCTCCGCCATGGGCTTCTCTAACAAGTAATTCCCTAAGTGAACAGTTGAGAATACATAGGCGATTCTCTTCGAACAAGAAGCCTTCATGCCTATAGAACTTTTGAAATGCAGCATGTTCACAGGCTTGAAACATATTAGAAAAATTGTCATCATGTGCATACAAGTCTTTAATGTGCTCAAAACCAAGCAACTTAGTGCTCATGTTAGTGATCAAGATATATCTCCTAGACAATGCATCCGCAACGACATTATCTTTCCCCTTCTTATACTTAATGATATATGGAAAGGAATCAATAAATGCAATCCAATTCGCATGTCTTTTATGCAACTTACACTGACCCTTAAGGAATTTAATTGATTCATGATCAGTATGTATCACAAATTTCTTAGGCATAAGATAATGCTGCCACACTTCAAGAGCACGCACAACAGCGTACAATTCTTTATCATAAGTAGGGTAATTAAGAGCTCCCCCACTCAACTTCTCACTGGAATATGCCAAGGGTCTACTATTTTGATGTAAGATAGCCCCTATGTCGATTCCACTAACATCACATTCAACTTCAAACATCAAATCAAAATTAGGCAAGGCAAGAATAGGTGCTGAAGTCAACAAATTCTTAAACTTATGAAATGACTCTTCTTGCTCCTTTTCCCATTGAAACCCCACATTTTTTTTAATTATCTCATTCAAAGGTGCTGCAATAGTACTAAAGTCTTTAACAAATCTCCTATAGAAACTTGCAAGACCATGAAAAGACCTTACCTGAGACACATTGGTTGGAGTCGGCCACTCCAAGATGGCATTTACCTTGGCGGGATCAACACTTATGCCATTTGCACCAACAATATACCCAAGAAAGTTAACTTCAGGAGTGCAAAAGACACATTTTTTCATGTTAACAAATAGCATATTTTCACGCAAGATACTTAAAACAAGTCGCAAATGTTCAACATGCTCATCTAAAGACTTGCTAAAGATCAATATATCATCGAAATTAATGACAACAAATTTCCCAAGAAAATGCCTTAAAACATGGTTCATTAATCTCATGAAAGTACTTGGAGCGTTTGTTAAGCCAAAGGGCATTACAAGCCACTCATAAAGACCATACTTTGTTTTAAAAGCAGTTTTTCATTCGTCTCCTTCCTTTATCCTTATTTGATGATAACCAGATCTTAAATCAATTTTAGTGAAAATGATTGCTCCATGTAATTCTTCTAACATATCATCTAACCTAGGAATAGGATGACGATACTTAACAGTAATTTTATTAATTACACGATAATCTGTGCACATTCTCCAAGTCCCTTCTTTCTTAGGCACTAGAATAACTGGAACTGCACAAGGAGTAAGAGATTCACGAACCTGTTCTTTTGCAAGGAGGGAATCGACTTGTCTTTGAATTTCCTTTGTTTCCTCCGGATTTGCTCTATAGGCTAGTTGATTTGGTAGAATTGCTCTAGGAATAGAGTCGATTTGGTGTTCAATGCCTCGAATTGGAGGTAATCCTTTCGGTAGTTCCTCTGGAAACACATCCTTGAATTCTTGCAAAAGAGAGT